CACACATACACACACACACAAAAGAGGGACAGTGGAAGAATTACTGGTAGATAAATATTCTCTTTCACTTTATTGATAATTTTATTGTCGGTCCAGTTTTTGACCAAATATCCAAAGATTTACTAATCCGTGAGCCCATTCACACCTGGTTGATACAGACTGAATGTTAATACGAGCTATAAATTGACCCCCAGTGTGCTTTCATCAACTACTGTTATGTGAAAAAGGGACACAGCAACATTATATACTCAATAGAGCACTGGCAACTCGTTCACCGTCCCTGTACATGAAGGCATTTCATTCCTGCTTTCTTTTTTTTTTGTCTGCTCCAATTGTTTTTATTTATTTATTGGGCTTTGCTGAATTGGGGGAATGTAATACTGGACACAATTCTGCATCTACAATGCCAGAAATAAACCAATTGTGTTTGTTTTGCTCTCATGGAAGTGCTTTGCAATTCAACCAATACTGAGACCAAAAACATTTTGGCTGCTTGATGCATTACAGATAGCAGCAGTGTAAAAAATTAAAATAATAATTTGACATAATTCTAATGTAGACTGATCCATGCTTTGACTTTATTCTCATAATACTCTGACAGTATTCTCACAGGATATCTGCAGGTCTTAAAAAGTCTACTTCAGAAGGTATTAAAATGAAATGTCTTAAATATATTTTACAAAGGTCTTTAATATTTTCTCTTGCCTGTCATAGGCAGTAATGTTAGTTATAAAATGTCAGACTGTGGACTGACAGGAGACTTTATACACTTATTAAACTGAAGTGGGATTGTTTCGATGGTGGATTGTGCTACAGTACTGCAATAGAAGCTATCTCATTATGGGTTAGCAAAAACCTGTTTAATCCACCCTTCCATTTTATTCTGTTTATCCAGGTTGAAGTTACATTAATTACAGTAATTATATTATTTGAATTATTCTCATATACTGCTGGAAAGTAGTAAAAAACTGTTATAATTTTTTGGTTATAGGTAATTTTTCTTTTGGCATTTTTCTTTATTTGGATACGGACAGTAGAGATTGACAGGAAAGGTTGGGAGGGAGAGGGGATACAAAGGGCCTGGGGGCCATATTCAAACCCGGTCCTCTGTGGTAAGAACTATGTGGTACACGCTCTTACCAGGTGAGCTAACAGGGTGCCCGTCCCACTGGTTTTCCATAATACTTTTATACTTTGGACGAAACAGGTTTTAAATTATATTCTATGTGGAATGAAAAAGGCCTTAAAGTCTAAAGTAGTCTCATCAGTGTAAAGAAACTCTGAACATATAACACTCATAAACAGCATGTGACAGTAATTAGTAATTAATAGCTTTAAAAATGTGTAATAACATAACACAGAAGTACTCAATTGTAAGGATATAGTGGCTAAAACACACACACACAGCATTTTGAACCATCCTTCAAGCCTTGTTAATTATCACCTGGTATTCTCTCTCTTCAGGGTCCAACACCCACGCAGATTCTCCAAATGCAGCATCTCAGACTACAAGGAGTTTCTTCTTAAAGGTGGAGGCTCTTGTCTGTTCAACAGGCCAACTAAGGTTAGATGCTCACTCTGCCCTGCTCTCTTTTACATGTCACAACTGTCATGAATCACACATCACACCGCTCTATCATTTACACACTCCTGTCTTTATCTGGCAGCTGTTCGAGCAAACAGAATGTGGGAACGGATTTGTAGAAGTGGGAGAGGAGTGTGACTGCGGTGCGAGAACGGTGAGTTTCCTTTCCTTCAGGAAGTCTGTTTGTTATCATGTCTTTGTTCAGATGGATGTAGCTCTTTTCCTATTTGTTTTCAGGAGTGCTACAAGGAATGCTGCAAGAAGTGTTCCCTTGCCAACGGTGCGCACTGCAGCGATGGTCCATGCTGCAATAACACATGTCTGGTATGAGTTTTGTCTTTTCTTAAAAGTCTTCACAGCACGAAATTACTTCTGAAACCTTCATTTAGACATTTATCTTCTCTCCTTTTCTTGCCAGTTTTATCCACGAGGTTACAGTTGCCGCTATGCTGTGAACGACTGCGATATCTCAGAGACCTGCTCTGGGGACTCTGGACAGGTGTTCTTGTGCTGCACTGTTTTTTTGCATTTGTTTTTTTTTTGGTTTCAAACTGTTCATTCTTTGCATGGTGAAGATAATGTGCATGGTTAAGAACAAGTGTTATGTGTTTGTGACTGTTTGCAGTGCCCGCCCAACCTCCATAAACAAGATGGTTACCTCTGCCAGGTAAACCAGGTATGCAGACTGATGACGTTAGAAAACATATTGGTCCAGTAATGTATCAGAATAGAGGCTGAGAATTAACTTACTATCTGATTCTCTCTGTCTGAAGGGCCGCTGCTACAGTGGAGAGTGCAAGACCAGAGAGAACCAGTGTAAATACATCTGGGGTTCAAGTAAGATTAATATCCCTTTGATTCACATTAGCTCCTATTAGCGGAGTGCCAGAGTATCGTCACGCAGCAAACTGTAAAAAGAGACTTTTTATTGTAATCAGCGCTGTGCAGTTCACCCCTCATTCTCTTTTCCTCAGAGTCAGGAGGCTCTGAGAAGTTCTGCTATGAGAAGCTGAACACAGAGGGCACCGACAAGGGCAACTGTGGAAAGGACGGAGACAAATGGATCCAGTGTAGCAAACAGTGAGTTTCAAAGGAAGATAAATTAAATTAAAAATGGTATTTCCTCTATACGTGTCAGCATGACAGTGCTTTAAATTTGTACACAGAGGATTATCCTTTATTCCTAACAATGGAGGAGAATCAAGTTGTTTTGAAGCCAACCAATAGAGGGCAGATCATTTACAGGAACAATCCTTAAGAGCCTTTCATGTATTTTAAGAACTGGATACTAGACACCAAGATGGCAGCTATTCATTCCTATAAAAGTCATCCACCTAGCTCAAAAAGTTTTTCCCCTCCAGGTTTGTTTTATTGTTATGAGGCTGACTCCATGTTAGTGCATCCTTTTCCTGAGCTTGCAGTCCCAGCTCATAGACATAAAACAGCTCTTCTAGGCAAACCAAACACTGGCTCTAGACCATTTCTCCCGCACACTTGTAACTGGACGGTGAGATGAAGGGGGTGTAATCTGCAACTACACTGCTACACGCCACTAAATCCTATGCACTGGCCCTTTAATGGCTTACTATGAAGGATCTGTCAAGTCAAGTCCGTTTATTTATAGATGATATGATGATAGATGTGGAAGACGTGACAAATCAAAGTGTGTATTATGTGGAAGATACTGGCATCTGTATAGATTTCTCTCTGTTGTCTTTTTCAGTGATGTGTTCTGTGGTTACCTTTTGTGTACCAACATTGGCCGCAACCCACGCATCGGGATAGTAAAAGGAGAAATTACTCCAGCCTCCTTCAACCATCAAGGCAGGCTGATAGAGTGCAGGTAAACAACGTGTGTGTTATATAATGAGATCTGTTCATGTCCTGGAAATGAACAGAATCAGTAGTCCCATTCTTTTTACATTTGGTTTAATCTTCCGTGTATGAGTTTTTATTCCCTCCTCCTCTCCCCACCTCTCCTCTGTCCTTATCTCCCCCCGCCCCCTTTCGTTCCCTCCATCCTTTCCTCACAGTGGTGGCCATGTCCTTTTGGATGATGAGACCGATTTAGGCTACGTGGAGGATGGGACTCCCTGTGGGCCGTCAATGATGTGCCTTGAACGCAAGTGTCTGCCCATCCAGTCACTCAACATGAGCACTTGCCCTACTGGACCTAATGGTCAGGTGTGCTCTACCCATGGGGTGAGTCCTGGTGTAAATCAACCCATAATTTACACTTTGTGGTTTAGAAAGGCTAAATAGAACTGGGACAGACATCAAATATACAACAAATTATAGACTGGTCGTTCGTTCAGACATATTTTGTGAAATATCGCATAAACCACTTAACAAAATTAGCTTCAAATTTGATTTTTAGGGGAATATGCTACTGAATAATTCTTGCTTAAAAGGTTGTTCACAAGTTTGTGAATTTTGACAGTTTCATAATCCATTAAACTCTCCCCCCGTACTTCATTTATTGGTCCACCATGTGTATAGATGGCTGGGCTCAATCAGTTCTGCCTGATTTGCTAATAACTTAATTTGCAGTTTGTCTATGTAGATATTCTTCACTGATATTTACACTGTAACTAATGGCATTAATGATGGTTTTGTTGTTGTGTCCAGTGAGCCAGCACCCTTAATGCAGCTATCAATTATAATAATATTAATGTTAAACCTAATTTGTATAGCTCCTTTCATATATTAAATGCAACTCAGTTTTATGTGAAATTTTAAATTAAAAACACGATTCAGACAAATAAACAAATTAAAAGGTGAGAAACACAAATATTCAAATGTAATAAAACAGGGTAGAATACCAAGAATAAAAATATAATAAACTTGAGGCAATATTCAATAAAAACGAGGCTACACACTACTTAAAAACAAAATGTAAAGGGTTCTGTAAGTCTATTTCTTAAAGGCTGTGCACACTCAGGTGTTTTCAATCACTCTGGTTAATTAGACTTCTGCTCAGGTGGATCGGCTTGGATTTTATAGAACAACACCAAACTCTATGATCAAAGGTATAAAGGTGTAAGTTGTCCCATCCTAACAGGTGCAGTGAAGTAACAGGAGAGTGACGGAAATGTCAATTAAGTAGCATGCAGTGTCTTTAGAAGAGCTCTAATCTGGCAACATAAATGAAAACATCTGTGTGAATTTACAGGAGCTGCATGTTACATATGGACAGGCTGTTGTATAGTTCTGGAGTTAACTGTTGTTAGGTTTAATGACACAGAGCTGTTTAAGAAGTCAAAATGTTCGGTTACTGTAAGTAGTGCTGCTATATCTCCCATAGCTGTTTTCACAGAGGACATTTTGATATGTCACAGTAGGAGAAACACAGGTGTAAATAATTAATATTGGTGGAAATTTATTGCACTGCTTCAGTTTCAGGGCCCTGTGCATGGTGGCTCGTTGTCACACTTACTGGGACACTTGAATTGAATATAGCCAAGCTAATGTTATTAGTAATACCTGTGCTTTTCCCACTATCGCAGGGGTCAGCAACCTTTACAATCAAAAGAAAAACTGTCTGGAGCTGGTTATAAGTGAACAAATCGGTCCACGTTCTATGAAATTCCCCATTTTCCTCCATAACTTTTCTTTCTGTGACACACATTTTAGTTGATGAAATGTTAAAATATATATTTTTTATTTGGTGTATAATAACTAGACATTTTTAGTTTTGGATATTGTATCACAGGCCTTTAACAATGATATATGAAAATCTTATAAAATGACTGTTGCATTGCTGCAGGTATAAATGTTTACAGAACTATATCCATCTTTACAAAGCTGACCTGGCTAAACAATGCCTGTGATATAATGAATCTAATCCGTTTCCACAAGCGTGTGTTCATATTTACACTGTAGTGTCTATGTGGGAGCCTGCATTGACTTAACTGGACCAACAGTAACCTTCTATAAATGCCCAATGTGAAGACAGCTGGGAATGTTGCCAACGGAGATAGTTCCCAAAAAGTACCCCAATGTGTCAGCACCTTTATTTACAGCTCTTACGTTCCTCTCGTCACCTCATCTATTTCTGTCTGATCTGTACAGGTGTGCAACAATGAAGCCACATGCACCTGTGACACCACCTGGGCGGGGACAGACTGTAGCATGCCTGACCCGCCTAAAGAGCCTGAGGCCACTCAGGACGAAGGACCCAAGGGTCGGTTTCCACCTTATTCAACCTCTGCCATCTGATAGAATGAATAACACACGTGTTTATTTAGCCACACTGACTTATATACTGCATATGTTGTTCTGCAATTGCAATGTCATTCTCAGTCACACTGTTAGATCTGAGTCAGCACAGATTCTTAGTTGTGAGTTTCACAGGTGTACTGGGGTCGTAAAGACTTTCTAAGTAAATTGGCGACAGAAGGAGAATATAAAAGCAGTGTTACATTTGTTTAGTTTGATTCAGAAGATGAAATGAACACACAGTTCTGCTGTACACCTGATACTTTGACCACAGGGGGTGGGGGGGTGGGGTGGTGGTTTAAAGGGGGCGAGAAGCATCACAGAGGGAACCGTGTCACTTCATCCATGACTCTGAAGCAGAAGCCTGCTGTTTGTTTTTGACAGGGTGGTAATAATGCTCCTTTTCCCTCTGCACAGTGAGCGTGGCCACTAACAGGCTGATAGGGGCAGTAGCAGGGACCATTCTGGCCCTGGGGGTGATTTTTGGAGGCACAGGGTGGGGAATAGAGTAAGCATCTTTAACCCTTTCACAGCTCTTCCTCTCATAGTGGTGCCTCAGTGTGCGGGCGGTCTCGTGAGCCGGCCTGAGCCCGTGTGTGCGTCCCGGTGGCTTTGTGTTTTCTTGTGTGTTGGTGATGACCATATAATTGTCATGTGATTGGATGTTTTCAGTGTTGTGTGATTGATTGATGGATTCCTCCTCCTTCTCCTCTCCTGCCACTTCCTGTTGTTCCCCATTACTACGAGCCTCTTTCTTCATCCTCCCTCTTCCTCTTCTTGTCCCTTTTCTTTCTCTTATTCTTAGTCGTTATGTGGTTGCTCCTGTGATCCTCTCCTTTCTGGGGCATGTGGGGCATTTAGATGGAAAACAGTCTTGAGAAGTGTCCAGTTAATGACCTGGCTTGTCAGTCAGTGGTAGGCTGTGTGGTGACTGGGACCCCTAAAAACATTTTCTACTGCTCATACTGCAGGCCACATATACACTTACTACCTTGCAATCTCTGTTTAAATAAACCTGTATAGTGATGGATACCCAGGGTCTAGTCTTCTGCACAACCTTAACAGACAGACCACTGATAATCACTACCTCAACTGACACCAGATAAATTAAAATATTCCCAGGGCCTCTACTTCATTATCTTCATGCTACACACTAAAGGGGGCTGAAAAGCATGCAAAATACATTCTCAGATTCAGTCATTTTACTGTAATAGTATACTTATGGTTATGTTTTCTGTTCCATGTGAAATCGTCATTGTATAGTTACATGTTATATATACAGTAAGTGAGTATAGAAACTCATGTCTTTTTCCCCATAACCCTTTACAGGTCCTAGTGCCACCAATCTAATAATAGGCTCCATCGCCGGAGCCATCCTTGTGGCTGCCATAGTGCTGGGGGGGACTGGATGGGGCTTTAAGTAAGCAACACGCCGCATGCCTCTCCTGCTGTAACTCTAGCATCCCTGCTGCTTCTAGACACCAGGGTTTGAGCTCCTGCTACAGAATATATGACCCCGGGGTGGGCAATGCACAATCATAAATCGTTTTACACTGAGACGCACATGTTTAACATGTATCTGAACTTCATCCAGTGTGCAGTCCTGGTTGTTTTATGGAACACATGGATGATGTCCAAGGATATATATGTGTAAAGGGCGATTTGGAGAGACTCTGGGCTCCATGTGGGGGTCGTCTGTGGATCTGTAGCAGAACCTCAAACTGATTGGACGGTCAGAGCTCAATGCTTGACATGCATGTTCAGCGAAGGACTTGATAGCAGAGGGGAAAGAATACTTTTAACAGCTAAATGGTTAAACAAAAAGCTTGCATATACTTGTATTAATGAGGTTAAATCTAATTTCCCCTCTGAAATCCAAAGATAGACCTCTAACATATCTGTGTAGCTAGGAAATGTACTTTATTGTACAAAAGATTATGTTTAAAAGTTCCAATCTACCGCTGATTATCCTGCTGTCTTGAGCAACAGGGGTGTTACACATCTTAATCTAAATAGGCCTAAGGAGTAACTGAGAAATACAATCCTGCAGCCACCAAAGCATGCCAGATAGCAAAGCATCATGGTTGTCACCAAACCAAAAAAAGAAACAAAGAAAACAGAATAAGGAACAAAACATTTCTGCATGTTGACTTGTTGATTTGGAGGAGGTCAGTTCATTGCACAAAGGCTGAGCCAAACCTAGAGTGATTTTGGTCCAGGGTTGTCGTGCTCTCATCACTTCCATGATCTTTTTCTCAATCCATTACTGTTTGAGGGTGAGACTTTAAGTGGAGTAGTGAGAGCGACAGAGAGAGAGAGAGAAAGAAGCCAGGACCTTTTTGTTGGCCGCAGCCTTTGTGCCATGGCTGGCCACACCCACCTTGATGGCCAGGCTCCGCCCTAGAGCAGAGCAGGACTCTTGGACCCGCCCACACCAGCTGCCATTGCTGCCTGCTTCACAGACCTGGTACAGACACGGCGCATTGCACTGCATGAACCACGCACAGCAATAGTGCCACCTTCAACTGGCCTACTATTGGAAAAGGTGCATGACAGAGTGATAGAAGCCCCACAACAAGCCACAGTACGGGGAGGTTATGCATCACTCCTGTTGTCGTATTCGTTGTTGTCCCACTGTTGTGGTAGTAGTTATTGTTGCTGCTGCTGCTGCTGTGGTTGTTGTTTATGTGGTTGTCTCCTCTTTTCCCTCCTCTATAGAATATATTTTATGTTAGCTCTTTCCTCCCAGATGGTTATGTTTTGAGTGGAACTAATGTCTTTCCCATCAAAACTGGTAATGAGACATGTCTCCTACACTTCACCTTGTGAACAGATGTTGCACGCACAAGAAGAAGAAGGCAACAGAGAATATTTATAGTCATAGACCTTCAAAATTCACTAATTATTAGTTTATTTGAAAGAACTTTATTGTTTTTCTGCTCAGTAAACTGGGTAAAAGTTTTCATTTAGTCCACTTTTGTTCTCTTGATGCTGGTCTTCAGTTTAGTATACTGTCAATCATCATAAATGGGGACGTAAAGGTTTGTGAATATAAATACCTCTGACTGCCTCCAACATGGACCAGCCTTCCCTCACTTTAATGTCTTCAGCCTTTTTATCTATAGGTCCACAAAATACACTTTTATTTTGCACTCTTGAATATAACAACAATTGTTTATTGTAAACTGAAGAGATGAGTGGGGTTGCTAGTCCAGGTTGTACTAGCTGTGTTACAGATATGATTATAGCACAACCTGACTCGTGTTTCTTGTCTCCTCGTAAGAAATGTGAAGAAACGGCGATATGACCCCAACGCCTCAGCCATTTAACCCAAGGAGAGATGGCAATCACAGACGGACTCCTCCAAGGCTTCCTTAGTTGGCTACCTGACAGCTGGACTGCACTTATTGCTGCTGATCTTTGGCATTAGATTTACTTGAAAAAGACATAGTGGACATTTTAATAAATTCCATCGTAGTTAGAAATGCAGCCTTTTCAACTCCACCTCACCCATATAACAAACGCACACCCCCCCCACCCTGATCTCTAGAGTGACAGAGCTCCTCTGCCATCCTTTAGTGCCAGTGCACAGGCGTTCAGGCGGAATCCACACCACTCTCTCACCTGGCATGACTATCCGCACAAAACGTGCTGCTTGCTGGCCCCCTGGCATGAAGAGTCCTCTCTGCAGGGCTCTGCATGGCTACGAAAGCTATGAATATACCGCAAAAAACATACAAAGAGAAAAAAAACTGAATTATCTAATGCAGGAGATAGCCTGGTTAAAAACCAAACACAGTGGAAAGCCGGTTAAAGCTCCTATAGTTCACGTTTAGGTGCTATAGACAATTAAGGAGGCTGCATGTGAGGACCCATAAGGGCAGTGTATTTCACATAGTGAATGCACACACACAAAATTGTACATAAATAAGGAGTTCAGGTTTGGTATTAACAGCATATTTTACAAGGACATAAATTGCTTTTGTTTTTTATCTTAGCATGTTGTATAGCGGGTGTTTTTGGCAATGTTATTGAAAAAAATACTGCAATTATGATTTGGGCCAAAATTGTAATCGCACGCTGCACAGCCTCCTGTGATTTTCCGGGTGGAGGTCAAAGGTTAGATTCACGGTGCCATGAAAATGTTGCAACGGCCCATCATTCAGAAACCCCAATAGTCCAAGATGGTCCCATTAGACTGAAAGCCCATTTGTCCAACAGCCCGTTGTTCCGAAAACAACAACCTGTTGCTCTGAAGGGTATCTTCTTCTACTTCTGTACGTAGCCTAACTTTAAACATACTCCACAGAGTTTTTAACTGGTTAGGATACAGTCTCAGTAAATACTAATGCCTCTTTCTCTATATAGTTATTCTTACTTAAAAACAGTGGAAACACTTCCGCTCTTGTCCACAGGGGTCGCCAAAATCAACACAAAAAGAATGTTCCTTGAAGCTGCTAGTAAGTAACAAATATGCTTATTTGAACCCAAACCATGATCTTTTCCTAACCCTAACCAAGTAGTTTTGGTGCCTCAACCTAACTGTGACCGTCACATTATTGTTACCATCACGACAAAGGTCACCTGACTTTGTCCTTTTCTGCGTGTTCCAGGGAGATAGTGTATTTTCAGAAAAGAAACAGGCCTTGGGAGCAGTGGGCTTTTGCTTTCGGGATAACAGGCTGTAACACAAATGTGCATTCGGTCCAATGGGACATTTTTCAAACTATTAGGATTTCGGAATAATGACTCGTCGGAACAATGGGCAGTCCCCAGATTGGACGACAGCAGACAGAGCAGCTGTGGTGTCGAGGAGAAGCATGTCAGTTCTAGAGGGATTCAGACTGATACCATGTCAGATTACCAAGATCACAAGAAACCCCACCCCGCACCCCTCCCCCCGGAGTATCTTCAACAGTGACTCAAAAGCCAAAGAACCAATCACCTGAACATATGGATGTTGTTGCACACAGAGCACTTTCCCCTCTGTCTGCAGCCAGTGGTGCCTCTCCTACTGCTGAGGGCATGAAGTCTGTCCATGCAGGCGCTCACCTGTCCAGCCAGGTCCCACGTAACAGTCCTCATCAACACCCACTATACTGGCTTAACCTTTTGCTCTCATAAACTCTTAGTAGAAATCAAGCTCAGCTCTACTGGAAACGCTGCATGCAATCACTATAGTGGGCTTATAATTCTATATGGGAGTCCCCAAAATCCGCAAGAAAAATATGCTACAAAAGATAGGTGCATGTCAACAACAAAAACATTTAACTTTTATTTACTATGCAAAGAGAGATATTGCACAAAAGTATGGGTAATAATGTCATCAGTGTAGACATGGAATTACAAAAAGTTCTGCTAAATCAGCTAATCTTTTGTATTTGGCCACTCCCACATCTCGTTTCACTTCGCTTCAACGTACTCAATCTATGAATGGACAAACAAAAAAAAGAACTGATCTAATATTTCCAATGAAAAGCAAGAGAGCACCCTTTTACATTTGTGTAACTAAAAATCATTTTTGTGTGTTTTTCATCTGATATCTGATATCTTTAATATCTGATATTTTTAATCACACACATACACATACACAAACACGTACACAAACACACTAATATGGTGCCTGTGCATATTGAGGCCTGAACAGTTTCCTTGTGCAGGGCTATTATTTCCAGTCCAGCTGATAGTTGGTGTGTTCCAGGTGCTGCCATAGCACTGGCATCGTTGTAATCCTCCATGTTACTCATCGTCTGGTGTCCCTCTCTCACTGCATCATGTACAGTTGGACCGATGAATAAACTACTGACAAATTTTATCAGAGCGTTTCTGTGTTTTTCTCTGCCTCTGAACTGACTGAAAATGTACTTTTTAATTTAATTTTCTTTGCGAAGACAAGCGTAAAGTTATATCTTAACTTTTAACATGAATTAGTGTAGACAACACAACAATATATATCTGACATAATGCTGCACTAAACATTGTTCATCGTCTTATTCAGTGTCAATATTTCCAAGCCTTTAATCTTTTCCGGATATTATAAACTAATAAAGTTTCACAAATAGATAAGTTATGATATGAAGCACAGAATAATTCATGAGCTAATTTTTAATGCAATAGATGCAGGGGCAGACAGTGGCTGTCTGAGGGGAAGTGGTGAAAATAATAAAAAAAGGGCACCAGCTGCATGAAAAGGGGAACCAGTGAGCAGAAAATGGTGATGCATTTATGGTAAAACTGGTCCAAACCCTGGTTAAGATTCAAATTGTTTTACTATGAGGCTCAGGTTTAAAGTATAACTACTATAACTACACTTAAACACATTTTTCTCTACTAATTTTGTGTAACATAAATTAATGTATATTCTTTCTGTCTTATCCCTTTAATCATCTTTAAACCTCGCACATTGATCTTGAATTTGGACTCTGCTTCCTCGTGAACAGCATGCTAAAAGATTAATGCTAAACTACAGCAGAGAGGAGCAAAAACCATATGCTGGTTCAATCCTGTGTTTGTTTGCATTTGTGTGTGTTACGTAATGCAGGTTCTAGGCGATGCCTTCAGGGAACCTCACCACTGGTACATTGTCTTACAGGACACTCACACACAGAACAGTTGATTACACAAGCTGCAAAGGAGTCATCTGTCCACCAGGTGTCAAGATTTCCCCTCCCTATAATTTATAATAACAGTCTGAATAAGTTGCTGTGGAGTAAAAACACATCTGGAGAATCTACAACACAGGTATATAAGAATAATGTGTCTGAATGTTTCTGCTGAGGGTCACAGAGGTCAGAAGTGTGCATTCATGTGAACGTGACGACAGTGCAAAAAGCTAAACAAAGGCTAAATTAATGTATTCATGTAGTATTTAATGAGTTTCAACTTGATTAAAACTAAAGTTTAGCTCTAATTAACCTGATCTTTTTAAGAGAAGATTTACCTTTATTAATCCCCCGTAGGAGAAATTCAAGTTACACACAACAGAATTGGGGAATATAGTGCAAAAAAGACTACAGTGTACAAGTAAAATCTTATCACAGATAAGAATATTACAAAATATATAATAGAATGGTGTGCAATTTAAAATATTTTAAGCAGTTTGACTAAAACACTAAACTGTACATGTGCAATTTAGGATAAATAAGTTTGGTTGAATTTAAAACCAGTCTTAGTCAGCAGGGGTGGGAGATACTGGGTGTTGTGGCGTTGTGGAGTCTGATGGCTGATGGTACAGTCTGTGGCTAAAAGTGCTCCTGAGCTGCCAGCTCAGTGTAGAGAGGATGAAGGTTGTCATGGATGGCCTTTTAAGCCTTCCCTCTCATCCGCTCTTCCTCAAGTCACAGCCTCTACACTTATCCAAGCTCATCTCCCCCACAACCGAGCCTGGCCTTCCTCCAGCCAAGCTTGCTCAGCTTGTTGGCACCATACGTCCAAGTGCCTCCTCCCCAGCAAACCACAGCAAAGAAGATGACACTGGCCACTACAGACTGGTAGAACATCCGTAGTAGCCGAGTGCACACGTTGAAATAACATCCACCAGTGAACTGTAGTTTAAAATTTCCGCCCATTAAAAATCATTAAAATGTGTTTTTGAGCTTCAAAATTTGGTACACATAATCACTCACTATTCCAAACTTCAGTGGATATTACTGAATAACAAATAAGTGCTGTCGAAATACTTCAATCAAAACCGTTTCACATCCATTCACTTCGCTAAGAGGCAGTCAAATTAGCTGTTTTATTGCTCTAATTAACCTGCAATTCTGTTTAATTTAAAGGTGTACTTGAGCTCAGCCTGACACCTAAAACCCTGACAAACGCAGCTTTATCTTTATCATTTAACACAGGAACTGCAGGATAAAGTCAGAATATATGTATGTTTGTCCTGTACAGCTGTGCATTGATATCCTTCTAAAGCGACACAGTTAACCAGGGTCTTACTGGGTATGGAAGAGCAGTGAGTGGGGCTGCGGAGAGAGAGGGAAGGTTAACCAGCTGTAATACTGTCAGGGAGCTGGGAAACATCCCCTCACTAAGGTGAAAGTGACACACACCAATGCACATTTACAAGTATTATTTTTTTTATGTTGGGCTTTTATTTTGAAACCTCACAAACCACTCTTTCTGAGGTCTAATTTAAAGGTAGGGGAGGATCTGTTGGCAGAAATGCAACATACTATTTATTGGTATGTATTCATTAGAGTATAATCAAATGAAAATAGAAATCATTGTGTTTGTTACCTTAGAATGAACTATTTTTATCTACAGAGGGAGTGAGTCCTCTTTTACAGAGTCCGCCATGTTGAACTGCTATGTTTCTCCATAAAATTGATTCTAATTCTAAGGTAAAGAAAACACAATAGTACTAGTTGACAGGTGAGGGTGGGGGTGGGGGCTGTGACAGTATACTTTACAGCACAGGCTAATGCTAACCAGCTGCTGGAGGTAGCTTCCTATTTGGTGTACATATATGAGAGTGGTATTGAAATTGCAATATGGCCAAGAGAAAGAGATAAAGACGTGTTGGGTCTGTATTTAAAGCCCTGGGAATGAGACTCAACAATCAACTATCTTTCCTGGCTCTCATTGGTTGTTTTTGTTCAGGCCCGGTGGATTCTTACAAATGCCATTAGTAACACTAGGAGGAGCCAGAGGAACCTGATTTTTTCCACAGATTATCCGTTTCATGTTCTACTGTCAGGATATAGGGAAAGTTTCAGCAAATACGACAAAAAGTTATTTTTATAAAAAAAGACCTACTGCAGCTTTAAGAAGTTTGGTACAGAAACATTTTCACATCGTCATGATTTTAAGTTTTTCAGTGAAAAAAAAGATGATTCCTACATTAATTGTGAATCATATTGCAATCACAGTATCTGTCAAAATAAAAGCAATATGATGTTTTTACCATATCATGCAGTCCTTTTTTGCCTTACTTAAGTACTGTAGGCTACAGCTGCTAACTGAATGTGTCAGATACATTTATTTAACATTCCATATTTCTCTGCTGCTTAGATAATTTTTCATTTTGGAGCTACAGGTTGTGAACATTAATGAGGCTGCCACTAGAAACTGCAGAGTTTCTGTCTTCTCAGCCAACAAAAGGTGATTAGACATGTTTGATGTGTAGTTATTTTAGCCTTTAGTTACTTGTGAAAGGTAATAAGATGGGGGAGGACAAGGGCCGTGGACCACAGACTACAGGAAAGATTGTAACATGATTGACTGCAGAATTGCTCTGCAAGATGGTCAGTGCTAAGTAGATATAAGATGAAATCCCCCAGGAAGTCCAGGAGGAGGAGGATAGAGCTGTGGAGGGAAGTAAGTGAGTTTGTCCAAGGCTGACGTGGGAGGAGAAGAGGGCCAGAGAGAGAGAGCTGTGGAAGAAGATGGATAGAGAGCGGAAGAGAGAGCCAGAATTGTGAAGGAGAATGGAGGTATAAATATTGCATGGCAGGATTTACTACTTGGCAAAAGCAAGGGCTTTCCTCCCCCTCCTCCTTCCCCATACGTGCACTCCCATGACACACACACACACACACAGTGCTGTTGTACTTAGCCTAGTGCAGCATTGTGTAACGGGTGTAACGGTATCCCTGTTTAACCCTGAAGAGAAAGACGGGGGGAGAAGATGCAGTCGTTGCTGATATGGAGAAGTGGGTGATGACACATGCGCAGTGAGAACGCTCCTCTATCTGCTCAGTGTTTGTTGTGATAAGAGGTTCAACATTGCATTGTCCTATTCAGGGCTGCTGGAAGGTCCAATGACACTTAAATCTCATCAGTTAAAGCTCCCCTCCAGGCAGAAATCAGTGTGTCTTCTTGTCCCTACAGTGTGCTGTGTGAATGATGTATGTGCAGAGTTTGACACTNNATGTTTTCACATTCATCTGCTGAAAGTGGAAAGTTTCTCTGTGCTCATTGTAAAGCTGATTTTAAGGGACAGGGCGGGGCCTAACAGTATGATTTGTGACATCACAAATAGTTTGGAAGTCAGTCCTGGCAGTAGTAAACGTACAATAGAGAAGATAAGACACTTTCACATTAATTTCAGAGTTTCCTCTGGGATTAATTTCACCAGTGGAGGAAAGGTTTCTGTTGTACCCCCACTGTACTGGTAGTGGAGGATTTTTTTAACTGTGGTATTTTACTTCAATAAAGGATCGGATCCTTCTTCCATTCACAGCCTAACTGTGTGTTACCGGCTGAGCCTTCCCCTTTAAGGAAGGTGGGCTTGTGGGTATCCTGTGCCGGTTTGTTGTAGGGAGTGATGTCATCTATGTAATAATGTATCTAGCAGATACCAATCAGGTTAAAGACATTAAAATAGTCTAAATTGAAGGTAAAATGTTTCGGAGCTGCAGACCTGGAAGCCACAGGCAATCAGATGATTGATCATGTTTTCTCTTGTGATTTCATCAGTAGATAAACAATGACGTGTAGCTGCTAACCAACTAGCTTTTCACAGTGAAGCACTAATATCATCATTGTGTCATTGTGCTAGGATAGTTTGGTTTTACAAGAGAAACACTGTACAGAGTTTTCGTTTAGTTTATGCTTGAAATGATTCCAAAGTCTAGACACTTCCTTTCTCTGGTCGGTCAACACTTAATTGTTAATTTTTAAGCCTTTATTGCTCACCGTTGATGCAATGCTTCATTTTTGAAAAGGTTTTAAGCTCCAATTGCACAGGTATTTTTGTTTCGTTTAGTGAAATGAAACTGGAGGATAGTTCAGTGGTTAGTAGGGCTGCACAGTTAATTTAAATATTATCAAAATCGCTATATGACCAAGTGCAATGTGCAAATTGCAGAAACTATCATTTTTTGATAAAAGTAAAATGTGTGACAGACTAACTTTATAGCAAAGTACTGTAGCTCTGCAGATATGCCCCAGGTTATAAATCTTGTTCTCCAGATGTAAGAAAACATGTTTGTTTGGTACAGACCCTAGCAAATCTCACATTGTGACTTTTTTCAGTGAAAATGAAAATATATATTGCAATTGCAATATCTGTCAGAATAATTGCAATATGAGTTTTTTACCATATCGTCCAGCCTTAGTGGTTAGTGCTGTGTGCTCACAGCAAGGTGGTCCTGGGATTGAATCCACAGAGAGCTAGAATGGATGGATGGAAATCTACCATCGACCATGCCTTGATGTCTAAGGGAACATTTGGAGCCTACGGCTTTAATGAGACCTTAATTGAGCTTTAAAAATGTATTGCCTTAAACCAGTGAGCTTCACGATGGGGTATGAAATGGCTGTATAGTTAAACAGTCCTAATAGATAAACTACAAAGATGAAGCCAAGACACCAAACTAAAAAAGAAAAACAATGACACCAGCAACAGTTACAAGCTAAAGAGAGAAGCTTCCCCATGAGGACCATGACGTAGTTAACAACATTACACCAGGAGCCATGGCACCGCAGGGTGTCACAAGTGTTGTTGATGAATGATCAGAACACTGTTACCTCAACAGGTGGGGAGATGTCAGGTTTTCTTAACAAGCAGGCTGGTTCGTCCTCTGTGTTTCTGTCTGTGAAAATACCAGCTGTGGAAGTATTTATTCAAGCACTGTACTTCAACAGTTACTAGTAACTGTGTCGATAATGATTTTACATACAAAACATAAGTAAAGACTATTAGTTAACTGTTGTAATCGTTATAACTGCACCCTAACCAGCTGCAACATTAAGATGCTCTGTGTATGTTAATGTATTATATATAAATGATATAAGCCGACTGTTGCGTTGCTTGTGTCTTGACCAAAAAGTGACACGACCAACAAGCATGTATGTTTTGCGCCTGCATGAGAGGTAATAACCCTCCATAGCAGCAGCTGGTGGTAGTATGCATTCGTCATTCAAAAATGAACACTGGAAGACCTAAGACTGCGGATATAAACAGCCCAATGGATGTAGGTTTGCGGTCTTGTAAAACATTTCTCTTTCTCGTGCACTGATTCACTTAAGCTGAACGGCCAATCAGAGTGATTTCTCTCACCAATGGCACCTGCTGCTGATTCAACATGCTCAGTTGGCTGGAAAAGTGGCAGATGAGGGCTGATGAGGACCGACAAGTGCTCATGTTGCAGAAAACACGGGAAAACTTAGCGCTACAGATGCTCACCGTCAGTCCACCAACCATTGGCCCGATGTGTCAGGGCCTTTAGTGTGACATGAATATTGAGAAGAATATTGCACATAAAATACAAAAAAAATGCAGCAATTACAAAATAGAAATAATAATTATTAGTATGTATTTGTATTTATTATTAGTAGTAGTCTTCATAGTGAAACAGAGAGAGCAGAGGGGAAGGAGAATAGGAATATATGGAGATAAGGATATAAGGAAGATAACAGAGAGCGAGGTAGCAGAGAAATAGAAAAGAGGAGAGGAAAAAAGATAATAGTGAAAACAAAGAACATGAGCACAAAAGAAGAAGTGCATGCAGGGAGAAGGAGGAGAAGAAGGATGGAGCAATAGGTGATCTGTAGTGAATTAACTAGAGCAGGTCACTCTGGGAGAGTAGCACTCTTTAGTATGCTGCTCCACACTATATTCAGTAGTATCTTCCAGTAAAATGAGCTTTCTCCCCAAATAATTCACACAGAAATTCAATAGCTTGTGAGCTGACACTCACACATGCCACTTGCCAGTGGTAAAGCTGGTGCTGTCTCCATGGTTACACAACATTCAGTGTCCAGTCACAAAAGAGCAATGCTGAGTTGTGGGCTAACCAGAAACTAGAGTACACTGCACCGAACAAATACTGTACATCTGTCAGCAGCTGCAGTAAGTAATTTTGGTTAAAATATTTTTTCTCATATCTGCTGAAACTTTCCCTATATCCTGACAGTAGAACATGAGACAGATAATCTGTGAAAAAATCAGGTTCCTCTGGCTCCTCCTAGTGCTCCTAATGGTATTTGTAAGAATCTACCGGGCCGGGCCTGAATGAAAACAACCAATCAGAGTCTT